CGCAGTGGTGTGTAACTGCACACACTCACCACACTCAGCCCATATCATCCCTCCATATTGCGAGGGAGCACAGGCTGTCTCCCCCTCTACAGGTCGGTATCCATCTCTCTCTGCCTCGTCCCTGGGACAGCTGCCCAGACAGCCCATCTGTCTGTCCTGACCTGTGTTTGGGACCATGGGGGGAGCCTAAGTGGCCCACGAAGGGGGTCTCTGGCACGGTGCCTACCCGGTAATGACAGTTAAGCTGCCAGCGGCTTGCCTAACGGCTTTGGAGGTCTCTCTGTGGTGCTACAGTATTGATATTGTATTGGGTTGCAAAGGGCTTGGCAGCCTTTTAATGAGAGCTCAGATTGATCAGGCTGTAGTGGCTCTCTCTCTTTACTGTGGATAATGCTTATTGGCTGTCCCTGCAGGCCTGACTTCCCTCTGATCTGTATTACTCACTGAGAATGAAGACATGCGCTCATAGACACGCATGCATGCACGCATGTATACAAATAGTAGCGGTAAATATGACAGAATGAAGGTTAATATTAAATATTCATAATTCTGTTGAACACATGGCTATGATTGTGTTTTGGGGGATTTTTTACAATCCATTAAACTGAACTCATTACTGGCCCCCGGTGCTTTGGATCCATATGTCTCATTTTGTGTCCAGTCAATATGCAATGATTGAGAGCAGCTTGACTGCACTTGACTAAACTTTAGAAAATTTGAACCTGTTTCTTTATTAGTCACGTTTCGACTGTTCAAGGGCAAAAGTATTTTCTTTAGTGCCAAACATACATCACAAAGGCTCTGGGAGCTCTGGTGATTGGTTCTGCTGTTCTGCAACAGCTGAAACAAAATATAGCCATTAGTAGACTCAATCTGTCACCAGAGTGATCAAGTTTGAAATAATACTGGCAGTAAACGTAAAAGGAAATAATTTCAACATGAAATCTGCTTCTAAAATAAAAAACAATTCACATTTGTTTTATTATATACAGAATTAACAAAAACAGATCAAACTGTTGTAATCTCAGTAATTATTTCCCCACACAGAATACTTTATAAGCCCGTCCACAGAGAAAGTGCTTAAAGCATTTTTCACAGTAAAGAGAATAGTAATATAAAACAAATGTCATAAAAGTAAACCTTACAGAAAAATCAAAACAACATTTAAATATTTAGTCTGACATATGCCAACACACACACACACACACACACCTGATTTCCTCACTCACCCACTCACACACACATGCTGTGTCTGGGGAGAGAAGGCAAAATCTCTTTCCTTTATACTGAAGTCTAATGTGGAGTCACTGACTGGGCAACAGAGGTAAGCAAAGGTCAAGTAAAGATCGTAGAGAGCAAGGAGTGAAAGAGATATTTAAACCACCTGCCTGTCAGCCGCTATAATGGCATTTCACCTTTCCATCCCTCCTCCTCCTCTTTACCTGCCTCCACAGGCTCATGTCAAGGTCACAGCAGTGGTCTCTGGGACTTGACTCTCTGCTATTAGCCCTCCATTAGGTGCCTGTCAGAAAGGCAGCCAGCTGTCGGCCCCCCTGTGCTTGTGATCATGACCCCCACTCAGCCCCCAGACCCCCCCTGGGATCTGCAGCAGGGAAGTAACAGGATGGAGGTAGAAATGAAACCCTGCTCAGTGCTCAGAGGAGAGGACATTGTGATTACTTTTCAGTGGCCTTTACTACCGAAGCAGCCGGGAGACCATTCCACGACTGCGCGGGTGATCGGTCACACTGAAATGTGACATGAAAAAATTTAAATACTGAATATTGGATTGCACGGGTGGAAAAGGTACACATTTAGATTTTTGTCCTCTTCAAAACGTTCTTTACGCACATCCCATGGCAACCTGCTGCTGGCCCTCTGTCTGGCCTTGTTTCTCTGTTTTCTCCCCCTCTTCAATTAAAAATGAATTAGCAGGGCCTTGATCAAGTTCATCAACGTTGTGTTGTAATTAGTGCTGTGTCAGAGCACAGAGCGCGGCCCTGTTTCACTAATCGAGTAATTACTGCACCGTCAGCCAGCTCTTTGACCTCAACCCCCACGCACCTCCAGACCTTCCTATCGCACCTTCCTATCAGCTCGGTTGGAACATAAAGCACCAGACACCAGACAAAGCACGAGATATACCCAGTTTTTCAACCATGGAGAGATTAACAGGCATCTATACCCTTTTACTGCGGATCACACTGACCAAAAGGTCAATCAGATTCATGAGAGAACGCTGTGGATGAATGTCTGCATTTAATGAACATCGTATAGCACCAAGATCACTCTTAAACTCTCTTACATGAGGAGTAGAAAAGCATTAAAATTAAATGAGGGAGCAAAGTCAATTCATGATGCACATAAAATGGCCAGTAAATTCATAGGGTAAGCAGACGAGAGAGGGACAGGAACACTACACCGCCTTGGTTTAAGGAGTAGAGAGGGACACTGTTATACTGCTGTAGAGATTCAATTAATTACGTCTACTTCGTAGTTAAGGGAGTGTAAAACACTATAGGCTAAAGACACAAGGCTTCAACCAGAATCTCCACCAGCTGTCCCATGTTTTTCTCCGAGTGGCCAGCGATGACATACTTGGTGTCATCCTGTGTTTGGTAAGCTCCTTTTTAAACACAGCTGTGATTAAAAGCTATTATAGCAATTATCTTAACGGCAGGAAAGCTGTGGACGGGAAGAGAAGAAGAGGGCCTTTTGTGGAAGTCAGATGAATGCTCCTTTCAGCACCATCGCCCCAGATTGCTTAAGTTAGATGAGTGGTTATGCAAGTGGGCAGAGGAGATTTTTTTCTCAAGTGCAGACACACACACACACAGACACACACTTTCGTCACAGCCAGCCACTTCCTTACAAATAGAGAGCCGACTTCCCAGCTAGCCGATGGGAGCTGACACACAGCAAAAGAATGAGCTGCCACAGTGTTGTTACTATAAAGCTTGGCCGGAGTGCCGAGTGGCCTCACTGTGTGTGGCGCCGCAGGTTGGCACACTCACAGGGGGCTTTATTGGGGTGCCGTCCTGAGCGTCAGGCAGCATGCCCGATGTTGACAAAGCCTGGTATCGCCTGCTGTCAGCCCATTCTGTGTGCACCCGGCGGAAAGAATCAATTAGGCCGAGCTCACAACAGAGCACTTTAATATTTGACTTTTAATCAGTGGGCAGAAGGCAGGATGGGAGCATGGAAGCAAGCTGGCAGTTTCCGTCTTGCTGATGTGGAAAATGAGGGTCAGGAAAATGCTCCAAGAGCCCCACTGTGTGTATCACATAACGCAGGGAGGATGTGAGGAACCTGCCTGAGGAGAAATTGCCACCAAAAACAGGCAAATCTCCCAGAGTGTTAAGGGAAAATATTCCTTTGTCACTCACAAGATATCAAAAGCACCTTACGCAACCGGCTGCAAGGAATGGGGGAGAAACATCACATAACTCTTGTTAGTAAACAACCAGAGCCCTGTGGAAGGGACAGTGGTTTAAAAGAGGAAAACTGAATTGATGAGGTCTTCACTCAGTGCATGAACTGCGCCTTTGAAGAGTTTCTCTTGAAGACTTTTGGTTTTTATCCCACACTGCCAAGGGCCTCCATCTGCCAGCAAGAAGAGGAGGTAGAAAGAGAGAGGTGAATGCTGTCCTCACCCTGCAGTTTTGAAGTGGAGATCAGCCCTCAAACAGAATATCTTACCAAAGGCACATCATTCACCTGTCTGCTCTCGCTTGTGTCACAGAGACAAGAAGGAAAATGAGAGTTCAGCTCCCTCAAATGCTCTGTCAATAAAAGCTTCAAAACCAGCATATAATCTTTACAAGAAAACAGTAAACTATCACAGCTATATTAGGAGCCCTTGTAGCAAGTCGTTTGTTAATCAAAAAGGAGAGCTGATTACAGTCCCATATACTGATGTTTTTGCAAGTGGTAATGAGTCAGCTGTGCACAGCTGTGCACATAATATGCCCACATGTGCTGAGAGCTGTTTCTTCTGCTGCTATCCAACTGTTCACACAGGATGACTCTGATCACAGCAGCAGCACAGGCATGCTACTGGTAAACAGCCAACAGGACAGTGGTGACACTGCAGTGCCTCTAACTACTAATTTAAAGCATAAAGCATTGCCAGTGTTATCATTGCTTGTTTAGTAAAGACATGAAGCTAGTTTACAGCCCAAAGCCACAGGAGGTGAAGGCAATTTTTCAGCTATTGATTTAATAATTCTGAGCTTTGTAACTGCCTCATTAATTCTCACAACTATTTCCCACAGCCCCACCTCGTCCCGATTCTCTGCATCTTTCATTTCACTTCTCTTAGGAACTGCCATTTGGACTGATGGCCACTGAGGGGGCATCTGCTGTGGCCACAACAGAGCCACAACACCCACAGGCCTCTTTGATCACAAATTCCATCTCTGCGGGGCCAACAATAACCATCCTCTTATTTGTGCACAACAAAATCCTAATCACTGGCATGCAGATCAAATGAGATGATGTGATTTTGAGACTGACTGAAACAGCGTGATGCATGAGTCGGCTTTGGAGGTGATGAATCTATCCCCCCGCAGTAAATAAAGTGTTGACACTAACTGTAGCCCGCTGTGTTGTTTGTTTCCTCAGGGATCTGTAGAATCCATGGTAACAGGAACAATAATCAGGCCCTGACTCATTTGTGCTCAGATGGAGGAGTGATACCCAGAGAGGTGGAAAGATAGATATATATATAAAGACTGTACAGGAGGGAGTGCTCAGTTAGGTACTGTAATTACATGATATGATTTGAATGACAAAACATAAAGACACAGCCTTGCATGCACTGACCCACATCTGTGAGTAAACACATGCAGGAAAGCAAACTCGGAAACCTCAAGTAGCTATAGAAACAAAACTAAATCTCTATCTACACATGCACATCAACTCTTTATATGTGTGTGAAAAGGAGCAATGACATAGCAGACGGAGATTTCACTTTAATAGCGAGAGGTGAGCAGTCTTACCTTCCTTTCTAAACTAGCTGCCTCTGATGTTCTGCTCTCCCACAGAAATCAGCCTCTGACTGCCAAGTTCTGTAAGCAAACACAAAGTCAAGAGTGGATGGATACTTGGAACATATGCAACTTCTATTTAGGAGCTCAAACAGAGCACGACTATCCCATACCGTTGCCATGCCTGCTTGTTTTCTTTTTTTTAAAGCTTTTTAATTATGAATCATGTACACATTCTAGTTCATCCATACTTGATCCAGGCCTGCTTTGTCTCTGTCCTCCCTAACAGATGCTATAAACTGTTCTGATGCCTCTCCCAGATATCGCTCCTCCCTCACACATACCCCAAGGATGGTGAAACATCTGCTTTAGACCACAACACTGTGACAAACTGTAGGATGCAGAGACTTGAAGAAAGAAAAAAAACTACACAGGTCATGCCAGTATTCACACAAGATAGAATCAATATTTGACTGATGATGTGATGCCTGCAGAACCAGGCAGCAGTTCAGGAGGGGGGTTTAATTAGACCTGTGCCAGAAACAGAGAGTAAACACAGTCTCATTTTTAACATAATTACCTCTCACCCTCCAGGACATTTTTAGCAATAGTGATAATAATCAGTTTGTGTTTGTAATACTGTGTAAGCACTGCTCACTTTCAGTCAGGCACAGAAGTAAAGCCTCACACTGCTTTAAAGTAAGTGTCAGAAGCAGCTGAGGTACAGAAAAATTGCTGTTGTCACCCAGCTCCTTCCATCAAGCTGCCATCTAACACTATCTCCATGTCTCCAAGTGCCTCTAGTTGTGATCTTGTAAGCTACAAGGCCTTGTTCTGTGTCTGCCTGTGAAGACATGTTGACAGGAGTGGAGCTGTCTGATCCCTGTTTTGATTGGACAGGTGTCAGTGTCCAGCATGTAAACATCTGAGCTGAGCCAAACAAACTTCGACATCTCCATAACCAGCCTGTGAAATCCAGACCTTAATCTCTCTCATATACAGTCTTTGATGAGGTGTTTTGCACACACCAACGTGGTGATCCACACATACATCCAACCGCTTGGTATGTGCAGCATGGCTAAGAATACGCTGGAGGACCTTATAAGCCCACTGTCATCTCATTGCCAAGGCACGTCTGTGACCCCAGCTGCTCTCTGCCCGAGCCAGCGCTGCCAGCCACTCATGGGCATCAAAGAGAGGTGAGTCTGGACACCTGTGCCTGTCTATCTGTCTGTCTGTCTGTCCATCTGGAGCGATAAAAAAAGCCTAACTCCCTCATCAAGGCTTTTTTAGTGTATTCCTAGATAGCTTTCCACACAACTGACACAGGCATTCAAAAGCGACGGAAACAATGAGGAGCAGCAACTTCAGCTGTGTGACAACGACACAAAACAGCAGAGACATCATTTATTTTGACAGGATTTTACTCGGCCAAAGATGACATCCACATAAACTTGCGGCATTCAGCAGACACAGCAGGCTGCAAATGGCAAAAGTGATTTACTTTCTTTCTCTCTCGCTAAAATAAAGGAGTGACAGATTTAATATAAATAAGCAGAGAGGGGGAGGAAGAAGGGAGGGATTGGAACAGGCTGTGGGTGACAAGGCAGTGTGACAAGCGTGGCAACTGAGAGAAAATGCGACACCTGGCCTTGTCCTTGATGTGAATAAGAGGATGATACATCAAAAAGTGACAGGGCAGAAAGATGGCTATTACCCAGGCAAAGAGCAAGATGAAGAGGAAGAGGAGGAGAAAGTGACTATTTTTACCGGCGATGTAAAAATACACCAGGGGTTCACTTAATACTCTTTTCAATAGAGAGTGTTTTATTGGTAGCGATGATCTCCTCTTCTTGCTAGTTCTACATCAAAAATGTGAAGACATTTCCAAGCAATGCGCTCAAATGCCCATGTTTACCAAATAAAAACCATCCGGCTACTCTGTCCTCTTTTTCACTGAGATAAATCGGAATGAGCTGTCTGTTCAGGTGGATCCTGATGAAGTTTGACCGAGAGGGTAAATGAGCAGCGGCCCGAGGACGTGTTTTCTTTGATTGGATGCATTTTCCCTGTTGGAGAGGAGGCTGATTGATTTCGGTGGGCTGGAACCTCGACTCTGCCTCTATTGATCCCTTATCCCCAGCCCTGTCTCTTCCCCAATTAAGAGTTCACTAAGCCACCACTCCTAATGAATACCACCTTCCTGCCAACGTCTCAATGTTACATTCACTACACTGTCTCCTGTGCTTTTTCGCTTCGTTTCTCACTTCTACCCACCACTCCTCCGCCCCCGTTGTTGTTAATGCTCAAGCACATTTGAACAAAAACGATGGAACTGATCTGGATTTGCGATGAGGTAGCGTTTGTGGAGGCGGGGTCAAGGTTAGTGAAGAAATCCCGCAGTTCTTTAAACAAAAGCCTGAAGTAGACATTGCAAATCTCTGTACATCACTGGGAATCAATTCCTTCCCCAGCAGCCAGATTTTAAGGATTAGAATGAATTGAGCTACTTTGGATGTAGAAATCTGGGTGTCAGGCGAGCGAGATCAAAAGATTCATTAGATGAGAATTAGATCAAACAGAGTCAAAGTTGTGAGGACAGAGAGAGGAGGAATGTGTAAGAGTGAGAATGAGTGAGAATCCAGACGTAGGAGCCAAAAAGCTGTCTGAGTCAGAATCAATTTAATTGTCAGGTACACACAGATACAAGGACTCTGCCTGCCTGTCTACCTCGCTCCAGAGCCGTTGGCACGTCAATCTCTTGATCTGCCCACCTTGCGGGTGCAGTCAGGGAAAAAAAAAAAAAACAGTTCAGTCACAGGTTAGTTGTGCTCCGATATAGCTGGCCCTCACTGCTGTGGTGGAGTGAAAAAAATCCAATTTCAGAGATCTGTAATTCCATAAACCTTATTAGGCACAACAATGGCTACTACACCCTCAGGGAGAGGCATGAGGGAGGGAGGGGGGTGAGGGTGCACAGAGGGGTGGCGAGCTGCACTTGTGACCAAGCTAAAGGCGGGGATGGAGAGAGGGTGACGAACACAGAAATGAAGATTAAGGTAGAGTTGGAGTGTAGCAAATCAGGGAAATGAAGAGACAGAGGTGTTCTGGCTCGGCTGCACTTTCAGTAAGTCACCGTGACAAGGTATACAACATGATGAAATGAGTGACACACTAAGATTTGCAGGGTAAAATTTTCAACTTGCCAGCCAGTATTTGCAGTAATCTTCCTCACTCTTGCTGAACTCGTATCTGCTTTACCTAAAACTCACGTCATTTTCTGATCTCTTAAATTTGTCATAGCTCTCCTTTTTTTTTGTTTCCTCTCCTCTTTCTTTTACCTCTTCTTTGCTTTAAAAGCCAGTGCAGGTTATGTATAAATTCCACAAAAGGATAGAATACATTTTCGTTGGTTTGGGGCAGCGTGTCCTACCATCACCACTGCATCCTGTATTCATTTAATTGTAACATCAATGGGCCACTTAGTCCGCTGTTATCTGAGTGCTCTCATTGATTGTTTGCCTAAATTCAGGGGAGTGGGGTGTGTCTGTTTGTTTTGCCTTACTAATGGACAACATCTCAGCGCACACCTCAGTTAGAGTGAAGCCGAAAGCAAGCAGCGGAGGAGGGACGGCCATAACGGATAGCAACGCGGACAGAGATGAGAGGAATAGACAACAGATTGATCGATAAAAAGAAACTCTTCAGACCTATATGAGAGGGACCCAGGTGGAGAAAATGCAGATGAAAGTAATTACGGCAATAATTACATCCATGGTGATAAGATTTTGCTTATCAGACAGAAAAAAAAGGTTGAGAAAAATGGCTTTGAACTTGAGTCAGATTTTGGCTGTGTTCCAAAATCTCCCAATCACTGCTCTTAGCAACCACGGTTAATTCTGTCATAAATTATTCACAACTGTAACAAAACTGTAGCAAAAGGCCACAGATAACCCCGGGATCTAAAGGCTGATTAGAGGAGGAGATTGGAGCAAGGATTTAATACAAAATTCAGAGATATAGCAGGGCTTTAGTGACATCTCTGCTTTTTGATATTGCAAGTGAGAAGGGGCCTCCAGCCGCTGTCTCTCCTGAGACAGATAGGGCAGTGAAGCTCGTACTCTGTGGCCAGCAGGGTATAATTACATTTCCCCGTGGGGCACCTCCGCCGCAGCAGCTCAGCCATATAGAGGGAAGAGATTGAAATCTGATTGCACTCGCACACAGCAGTCGAATGGCCGTCAACACATGAACATTGGGAATCACACGTACACACACTGTGCGCGCCGATCGGATACAACGCGGGCGCCAACACGGACGGGGGGAAAAAGACGGAATCGGATGCACATACAAACACACACCAATGCACTTCTCCTTATTTGCTCCTATCAGCGGCAGACTACTCTTCGCTCTTTGCGCTCTGTTCAGAGAGGAGTGTGAGAGGTATTGTCAAAGAGCCCCTCTGCCTCTCTATCATTAGAGCTGAGAGGAGCAGAAGCACTGAGATTTACACACTGATCTCCTGAAGCCGCCTCATCGCAGGACCTGTTAACAGCAGCTCATACATACAGATTAACAGGGATTCACATGAGTGCTACTTACTGTGAGGCTACGTTTGATGTATTCTAAAGAAGCTTTGTGTGTAAGTGAATGAGTAATGAGCTGGAAATCAAGCTCAAATTTATGCTAAATAAAATGGGAATTAATATATAGCCTAAATGTATGTGAATGCATTCCAACATCGCTGTAGTACTCCAGCAGCACGATAACACAGTTAAATAATTAATCAAGCACCAGAAACTCAGATATATCATTGCGTTTAATTGCCTCTTCTCACCTTAGATGGTATTTTGTGTGGTGCTTTTTTAATGCTTCCACCCCCATCATTCTGGCTCTTTCTACTGGAAAGAAGCTATGTTACGGTTTAGGGCAGAATGACATGCATGCTTTGTGTACGATAGATGAAAAAGCAGGTAAAATTGGAAAATCTTTACGTGCAAAATCAAAATGCGCATAAAAACAAATGGATTGAAAATGTACCAAACGGTGTGGCTCGAGACAGTGAAGGACAAGTGGGAGGACAGGAAGCGGAGCAGGTGGAAGAAGCTGTAGCTCTAAGAGGGCTGAATGAAGGTAATGGGTGACATTAGCTTTAGGACCCTCTAATCTCACCTCACTGTGTCTAACCACAAAAGGTCAAGGCGGCGGTAAAACGAGCAGACAGCGGCGCTGCCCCAACCGCCTGCGGGCCCGCAGAGACTGTCGAGCAGTGTCACCTTGGCTGCTGTCACTGATATCTGCCACCTGTCACCACGCTGCCCCCTTGGCCAGGGATGAGGCTGCGCTGACAATAGGTTTGTCGATAGCACTTCCTCCCAAGAGTGGAGACGGGGGAACGTGTCCTCTGCTTTCACCAACAGCTCGAGTCAACAGCCACGGCGTGCTGGCATTAGCATACAATACATATTCATGCTGGTGTCTCCCTCCGACTGCATCGCCAGCCCTCCTGCACATTTTCCAGCCATTTTTTTACAAACGGCATGTCAAGCACCCCATTTTCGCCGGGAGTCCCACATGGCCTCTTATGAATTCACAACACGGCCTCTGCAAACAAACATCAACAGGTCTCAAGGTCGTCGTTCACACTGATTGTGTGTGTGTCTTTGTGTGTGTGTGTCTGTGTGTGGCGTTCATGTGTCTCACAGAGAGTGTGTGAACAAAAGAAGAAGAAATACAAGAATGAGAAAAATGGCTGATGGGTAACAGGGTACAGTGCATATGCAGAATGCAGGTGAACACGTTTTTTTGTTGAATAACAACAGAATGCTTGTAATTATTTTAGATCAAATAAGTGACGAAGATTTTTAGTGCACTGCCCATCACATTAGCGAGGGTAAGCAGGCAATTACTGCTTAGTGTGTGTGTAAACATAAATATGATCAAACGGCACATGTGGGTGCGTGCATGTGTGTAGCACGCAGCTGCAGTCTGAACATGTCTGGGGATTAACTGACAGGTAGACTAAGCAGGAGCATCCTCCTTCAGTCCACTGGCATCTCAGTGAGAAAAGAGGCCAGTTGATGTGGGGGTTCGAGCTTCCGTGGCAGAGTGCGTTGTGATAAATAATGAATGCTTAAAGAACAGATCTCTGAAGCTTCTTTACTTTCCATCCATCCCTCCATCTTTGCATTCGTTCATCCATCCACCCATACTGCTACAAACAGCACGGGACATTCAGCTGTCTCGGTCATAAATATTTCAGCCTCTAGGTCAGTGCTCGCATCCCACTCCACTCCACTGATCTTAACCGCCACCACTTGGTGATGACACAGCCTTTTGACCCATAAAGATATTGACAAAACACTGATAGTGAGCACATGAACTGGGACAAGGCTTGCACACGAAAGCCGTGCAGCCTTCTATAGGAGTGGCAGCGACGGCAACTGTTGAAATGGCGACACTTGAATGAATGCTGAGTGATGGACACCGAATCAGTTTCTATAAAAAGGTTGCCACAAGGTAACTGATCCAAAGCTGGACTGGTCTTGCCTTTAGAAAAAGTTATATTTTCGCTGCTGTTGTTCTTGCTCTAATTTTAAGCCCCCGCACACACTATTCAGCAACAGTCAGGATTATATTTGGCTGGGTAAATAGAAAGCAATGCTGAGACAATGACTGTTCCATTTCTCAAAACACCACAGACTGTGAAACAGGAGGACAAAGAGATCTAATTACAAATTGGATTCAACACCAAGACAGACCAAGGAACTGTAAAAGCTGTGCTGACTTGTTTCGCTGAATAAAGAGGATTCTTTCGGATTCTCAACACAGCTTAGATGTAATAACTATCCATCTAAGATATGTAGGAACAGGAACAGCACTTAAAAGACAGTCACTTAAAAGCCTAATGGAGACGCAGCACATGTCGACAGCGTCCTGCTCAGAAACTACCAACTTGTTCCACCGAATAAACAACAGCCTGTCTCCACACTGCTCTGTTTCAAAGCCAGACACTTCAGTGCATCCAATGAACGAGAGGTCTCATCTCTCTTACCCCGATGAACAGTGCCGTTAGCGACTCCATGCATAAATCTCAGAGGCGAACAGAATGGATCAGAGCATTCAAGTGTAAACTAGGGCAAAGCTCCAGCACTGTACCTTCTAGATACGCTACTCTGGAAGCAAGTCCTGCGGAGAAGCAAGCGATCACATGCTGAGGGATACACATGCTGCTCTCTGTCATCTATGACAAACACACACACATGCACAAACACAAATTCACACACCTGTTTGGTCAGTCCAGTACCACTCAGTCCTGTCTGATCCGTTCAGATCGGGTCCGCTGTGCTGGCAGAGTGAGGAGCTCGTCTCACCCCCCACACAGCCCGGTGCAGACAGCTCACTGTTATAGATGCACTGACAAGTGAAAGGAGGGAGGCGTGGTTTCACATGAGATAAATAAAAGAGGGAGGGAAAGAGGGAGGAGAGGCTCCCTCAATCTACAATTCAATTTTGCCCTCACTCCCTTTTTCAGCAGTGTTTTTGTCCTCCTCTTCTTTTAGCATATTCCTGCTGTTATTCGAGCGCTCCTTCTCCTTTTCCATCTCCCTGCCTGCATGTTATTAGTCACTGGTTCTCTCTGTTTCCATTACTTTAAGCCTTTCTTCTCCTGTGTTGCTTCCTGTTTCTTCTCTTTCTCCTTGTCACATTTTCCTCTGCCTGTTCCTCTCTCTCTAGGCTCTCATTCATGGGGCAGTAGTGTGTGTGTGTGCGTGCGTGCGTTTGTGTGTGTGTGTGTGCGTGTGTGTGTGTGTGTGTGAGCGAGACACTGAACCAGGGCAGCTCCGGCCATCTGTTGGAGCCTGTGAGCTTCACCTATTCACAGTCTCATAAAGGCAGAGGCACACAAGAGAGAAAAGAATGGGAGGGAACGAAGGATCAATCTTAATGCTACAGAGTTGGGGAGGGAAGGCACAGCCTGGCACACAAACCATATCTATCAGGCTGGCACCACTGGGGAGCGCTGGCATGGGCACGCCGGCTCACTGGGTCCAGGCAGCACAGGGAATTTGGCTCAAGGTGCATGGGCATGCAGGGAAAAAAAACGCACACCCAAATCAATTTATGCACATGCACACAAAAGGCATATATGGGTGAGTTCACAAACACACACACACACTCGCACAAATCCACAAAACCAATTTCCTTTTTGACAAAACAAACAGGATCTATCAAGATGGATAATCCTACAAACTCAAAGAGACAAGGGGATGGAGAACTGGGGACAATTCTAAAAACTCGCACATGCAAAGCCTGCCCTGAGTTCCTCCATCACAGCAAAGCTAAAGTAGGCATTTTCCTGCTCAGTTTAAGCCAGGTATTTCTCCTGAGTGCTGGTGTCACTTCCTATCCCTGGCCAGGAGGGAGAGGTGCGGCGAAGGGTGGCGGAGGGCGCAGACATCCATCACTGTCTGCACCAGCCGTCCCATGATGGATGCGCCTGTTTATCCCTCTCTGCAGGTTATTTAGATGCAGTCACAGCCAGAAAGATTAGTGATGGAGAACCTCTGCACCCCTTTGCCTCCCCTCCCACCCCATCTAATCAATAACACTCTTATCTATTATCTGCATTTCAAGGTATTTCTCCATGGAAATTTGAAGCACAGAGAGAAAGAGAGATTAATTGTCCACCCCCTCTCAGTGTTTTCAATTACAACGTCTGCAATGGATCATCTATCTGTCAGCTTGGCACACTGTGCTATTTGTGTCACTGCAAAGAGATGAAACCATGGCGTTTTGAGAAAAATCAAACGGCATTTTTCTGGCCATGACTGTCCGTTGCAGATGCAAAACAAACTATTGAGGGAAGGGGATTTACTTGGCATGTGAGGATAAAGAAAATATCTCCTGCTTTAACATCAGGTGCATTCAACACTAATCCTCCCAAAAAAAAAAAGAGCATTGTCATTCAAGCCAATTGGAACCACAAGCCCTTTGTAAGAATGGATTAGGCTGTTCTAATACTGTTCATAATAATCTCAGAACAAAAGATTGACTGCGGGAAAATGATTTATTTTTCCATTATATGCATATAAGATGATGTCTGAGACTCTGGGACTGCTGACATAAAAGAGCCATCTAGCTGTTCTTACATGCTGAATTACAAACAATGCCCCAGAGATGGCCATGTTTTTCCTGAGCGATGCCGACATGCCAACACAACAGCCCAGTGACACCACTTTAGCACATTGTTTATTCATGCTTGTGCGCTCTCTCTCTCTCTCTCTCTCGCTCACTCACTCACTCTCACGCACACTTAAGCTGTGTCATCCCGCTGACTTCTAATTGTGTCTAATGCAGACCAACAGATGTACTCAATGAAATGAGTGTATGAGAACAAGGTTACTTTCTTTATTTAAACTAAAAGGGTGATATCTTCCAACCCCGCTGGATTCTGGGAAATTTCCACAGAGGGTGAGGAAGAAAAGACACAGAGAGAAATGGAAAGCCAAAGACAAAAAAACAAAAAACAAAGATGCAACAAAAAAAAAAGAATACAAATGTCTGCATGTCGACAGAGAGGAATATCTGCACTTTAAAAGCAAAGGAAGGGTGTAGACGTCGGGGAACAAATTTTGCTTTTCTGTTTTCTGCTTCATTGGACACAAAGCGGGAAAGGCCTTGTGCGCAACCTTTGCATGATAATGCCAGGGCAGGTGTATAAATAAAAATGAATGATTTCCCTTCTGATAGCGCAGAAAGACAACTATGTTCTATCATGCTGAGATCTTGTCCTTGCCTGTGAGTGTGCTGTTACAAATGAATTTGTTCCTTTTTTGCACTGTGTGTGCCAGGCTGATAAAAATATCCCTTGTCAGCTGGCTGCATGAAGAGGGGAGACTCAGTGCAAATTAGGCAGACCCCCTCAGCGTCTTCTCTTCACCAGCTCTCTCCATCTCTGAGAGCTCTACTCCTATTATTTCTTGGTATGGGCCACTTGGTTCAAGGCTGACTTCTCTTCCCCACCACATACATTTCCCCAGCACCCTGCCCTCTGTCCACTCTGCGAATCCCTGGTTGGAAGTGTGTGTGTACAAGTGGGTCCTGGGCGCTGAGACAGTTCTGCATCACCATGGCTACCTTGTGATAAGAAACAGAGATAGAGAGGAGAAAAGAGAGGGAGAAAAACATAGGAGAACCCACGAGCTGACGATGTGGGGACTCAAGGACACGGGATTGACAGAACTGAGGATAAGAGACGTCCTGGCACTACGAAACAATTCTCCTGAAAATAGCACAGGGGCTACTGCAGGTGGAATCGTAAAAGAGCTATCCAACTTCTGAGCACATGGCCTCAGTGGCAGACAAGTACATTATACCCTCCCTTGCCTCCTACACAGCTTGCATGGGCTCAAACATACTATAAATCTCCCATGTGTATTAAACTACAATGGCGAGATAGAAAAAACACACAAACATCAGAGGATTACACACGTATATCCAGAGGACAGCTTTCTTGGCTGATTACAAATTTAAATAGTGGAATCAGTTACATTCTGCAGCTGTGCTCACTGCTCCCGGACTGTGTTTCCTCCGCTCACGTTCCTGTGGCGCAGAAGGTCGTCGGAATGGCAGGCTGGATGAGCTCAATACCCCGACATCATTACTTTCTGGCAATGATGCACGCCACACATCGTCCTGTCATGTCTAATGTAATCTCCTCCTATTTATTTCATCCCTGCTGTCACCGTCATATAACTCGCTCCCATTGAAAATATAAATAGTTCATAAGTCTGTTATGAGCAACCATCGTTTTCAAGCAGTGGTTCCATATCCTGAGGTGATGCTATAATTCATTCATGAGTGTCACGAAATTCTGAGCGGTACAATTAAAAAGAATAGAGGCTTCGGCAAAGTTTCTTCAACTCGGATTTGAAATGTAATTGCTAAGCTTTTGGTCCTTTTTCAGATTGAAGAAAGTCTGGAAAAAGAATCAAAGCTCTGCAATAAAATATGAAACCTACAACAGAACAACTTTGAAAAGCTTTTGTCCTCCTTAATTGTACCTCAGACCATAGATATCCTTCTAGTTTTCCGAGTTCTTTCAAAGCAACTCTGAAAGCGACACGAAAATAACAACAAATACAGCTGCACAGAGGCTCAAAGCTAACAATCAGAAAGGCCGACACGGTGCCCTTGTTGCAAATATATAGTAGATAGTTATCTTTTACTACGTACACTCACAGAAAGAAAACGTCAAACTCAAGCATAATAAAACTGTCACTGTGTTTATGTTTGAATAAAATGCACAACAGAAGTGAAAGAGCTGCTAATGGAAGCAGTAAAGTGAAAATATCATCCTCTCTAAAGGTGCATATTTTGATTGTCCAAGTTTTAAGAGCTTTATTGAGGTTTGATTGAGGTTTCCTGGTAACTGGCTCAATACGCCCAAAAATGGACACAATTAGGTATAGCTTAATTAAATGATTTAAAGTATCTTTGGGGAAAAAAACTAAAAGTTTTGTGAGCGAGAAAGGTTTTTAACATATTGAAAACTTAGCATCCAAGACGTAGACTGACTGACATCCCACAGTGCTTCTATCATTTCTTGGTAGTACAAAACTGTAGGCTACATTGATTTCCTGTTTACTCTATCTGCCAAAACAGTGTGCTGTCAACATCAGTACATGGTGTACTATCACTTAGTAATTAGAATTAGGACGCCCTGCCAGGCTTACTAACAGAGCACATGTTGTGTGATCATCAGCCAGCAGGGGGAGGCGTACTCAGGTCTGGATGGAATAAATCTTCCGCTGGGTTAAAAAAAAAAAAACAAAAAAAAAAACCCTGATGCATAACTTTGAGCTTGAAAAGACAACTGCACTGATCTGAAAAGCTGATAAATATCTGATTAATATCTCATTGTATTCATTGAAATGGTAATGCTAAAAACTGTGCCCCTGCTGTGAAATGTTCCTGTTCCTTCATGTAGCTGCACATTCTGAGCTGTTGCTTTATAAAGCCAGAGTTTGGCATTAAAAAAAAAAAAAGGTCAGCCTTTGTGATGGAGCTTTGTTTTAATGTTTACAAGGATTCAGTTAACGCTGAAACAATCAGTTACCTTCACATTTGTCGAGCGTTTGAAGATTATCACAAATAAAACAGAGTCTGGTAAACTTTGGAGCACAATTTTATGACAAATTATATTTTTAGTTAAGGAACTGAAACCAAACTGAATTTCCTCTAATGCAGTGAAGCTATATGAGAAAAAAAAAGTCTTCCTCTACAAATAGGCAACATGGACCATCGTTGGTCAAACTTTTACGCAACTTGAGTGTTTACAAGCTCCCAGTAAAGCAAGATTCAGTAAAAAAAAATAATTAAAAACAAA